AAAAAACTATATAAAGACACATGTTAAGGATTGGTAAAGAACCTTTTAACACATGATGCGACTATAAATAAAATCATCTACTCAAAATAAAAGGCAATGATATCCGTAAGGTCATCGACACATACATATCTTCCAACGTAAACAACTACAACTTATGACGTTGTAAACATCGAATATCGTGTTTGTTTTTATAATTCTTTTTTAAATTTCGAAGATTAATCGACTATTTATGCGTTTCGAAATGGGTATTAAGAAAAGCTATTTAAAAACACATCTTTCTTTATTTTTCAGCACGTAGGTGTGCAAAGCTGGACCTGGGTCTCTTACGATTATTTATATACTATCTATATTATATCATACCAAGTGGACCGGCGATCTCATAATATGTTTCGCACCTTCAACGTTGCTCTCCTTCGTCGGCATGAGTACTTTACATCTAATGGTCTAAGAGCTGGGTACGAAAACGTGAACTGATAAGGTGTAGTAACGAATTATATATATAACCTCTCCTTGGTAGCTTAATAGTACAGAGCGACACCGGTCAGAACTCTCTCCCGGGGCGGAAGGCGTGGGTGGGCGGTCAAAGTCGTAAATTTTCAATAAGAAAAAAATTATTAGGTGCAGTTCTGAAATTTGGTAGAGTTATAGTTTTTAACTGTAGGAATCTAGGAAAATTATTGTCAGAAGTCTAGGTCGGGGCTTAAAGACTGTCAGAAGTCGACAAAGTTGTAAAGATTTTGTTTAACTTTATACCACAAGGTGCAGTTCTGACAAATGCATTTTTATATTATTGGTTGCTTATCGAACCTGTATATAAATTGTCAGAAGTCTTAATAATGGCTACTCGTAAGTACATAAAAATTGATGATTTAGTCAGAAGTTGCTGAAGCGGCTATCGCGACGGAAAGTAACGTTCCGAATCTAGTTTTGAGTTAAAATAACAAGATGCAGTTCTGACAATTGTATTTTTATATTATTTATAGCTTACCGAACCTGTACATATATTGTCAGAAGGCTAAATAATGGCTAAGTACAGAAAAAATGATGATATGGCCAGATGTTGCTGAAGCGGCTATCGCGATGAATCGATTCGTAAAATTATTTAATTATATAAATCTCAAAATGAAAACGAAGAATCTGGAGCATTTTTTCTGTACTTAGCCATTATTAAGACTTTTGACAATATATATTCAGGTTCGATAAGCAACAAATAATATAAAAATGCATTTGTCAGAACTGCACCCTGTGGTTTAAATTTAAACAATTTCTTTACAACTTTGTCGACTTCTGACAGTCTTTAAGCCCCGACCTAGACTTCTGACAATAATTTTCCTAGATTCCTACAGTTAAAAACTATAACTCTACCAAATTTCAGAACTGCACCTAACCATTTTTTTCTTATTGAGAATTTACGACTTTGACCGCCCACCCACGCCTTCCGCCCCGGGAGACAGTTCTGACGGGTGTCGCTCTGTACTTATAAGCTACCAAGGAGAGGTTATATATATAATTCGTTACTACACCTTATCAGTTCACGTTTTCGTAGCCAGCTCTCCGACTATAACATATACAAGACCATGCCACGAAGTGGTTCTAGCCTTTTTCGTCGTAGTTTTCTTATAACACTCACGGGACAAAATTGAGTGATGGATCGAACTCCAGGACACAGGAGTGGCCATAATATGTATTTACATATATAGGTGCATAAAAATGTGTTTACACCTTATTAACATCGTCATCTCCCGTACAGGTAAACGGTTATGTAGAATAAGTAGTTAGTGCCTATCTAAATATAAGACTGCCAACCCTCCTAAAAAGCGTGCTATATGGCAAAACGCCAGCCTAACCGAACTAGCCTAGCCGAACCTCCACCAGAGATTCTTAGCACCCCTTGCCCTACCGTTACCATGGTTGCCACCGTAGTCAGGAATAGCGGGGCCGCCGGGGACTGGGGGCCGTCTTTTCATAACTTCAATATTGGGGGGATATTTGCCATAGTTGCCACGCTTGGCGAGCGGGTCGGTAACCGCAGTTTTTTATTGTAATATTGCTGTTATCCGGAAGATGCTGCTGCCCATCTCCTGCCAGTTTCCCACTGTCGCCTCTTACAACACCCACGGGAAGATATGAGATAGCGGATATTCTTAACCGTCACTATACGGTAATTTATAATTAAATGTAATTAAACATTGAAAAAACTTTTCCCCGACCTTATGTAACAGGCCTCGTACAATGTTAACAAGTAAAAATGAGTTTAGGCGGGAACTTGAGCGTATTATTGTTTTGGTTTGCAGTAGATTTTGATACGTACTCGTAAAAGTGATACGGTTTTGTGTATTAAAAACGTCTGCGCATGTGAAAACGATAGTGGAAACTATGAAACCAGTGCTCCGATGATAATGTGAATCTCAAGGTAAGGACTCTGCTATACGGCGCTTTGAAATGCTATCGTCCACTGTCTGCTGACTCAAGCTGCCGTTAAAATCTCCCAAAAAATTCACATTATGACGGATCAACATACTGTCACAGAATAAATAATAGTACTAATATTGTGGAGAAGTTTTAAAACAAATTATTTTAAAGAGTAATTTCTTTAATATAATTGGCACCTCAAAAATACAATAATACGAGTCCATTACCAAAGAATAAAAAAACAACTAAAAAGAAGAATTTTCCAAGTTTAAATTTCTTTCCTTATTTTTAGGAGCTAATTTAAAATATCGTGGTACATTGACAAATGGATCTATGTCGGTAACATTTTCGCGCGACAATTTTTTACGATTACAAATGACGCCTAAAACAGCTCGTTCGATGTGTACCGCAGGTATAATAAATTTCGGTACCATCAAATAACTTTGAAAAGAAAGAAAGAAGTGGTCGCTCATTACGACTGTTAAAGGAAACGTGCTAGCCGTAAAGATTTAATTGAAGAGAATTATTGAATTACGTATAAAGAGATTCAGCGCATATTGCAAATTGGATCACGTTTTGTTATTAAAACGTCACTACGATACAGAAGAAAGCTTATACATAGTATATACCCTAAGGAAGAAGCTGTACTAATCGTTACGTTTAAAAAATACAAAAAATCACAAAAAATTATGAATTAGAAATAACGATCACAAAAAGATTTTACGGTAAAACCGTTTAATTTTTTGTGATCTACGCAGAATGAACTTACTGTATCTTAAAGTCTTGCTCTGGTATAGTTAGTATTAAAATTTAATTTGTTTAACTATAGGATTCCAAGCAAATTGTTTGCTCTGTGGTTGCCGCGTAAGTTTTTTTTTTTTAAAAAACGTTACCCCCACACTAGGATTTTCTCCTGTATCGTGGAGGCAGTTTACAAACACAAATTGCACAAGGACAAACATCCAGACCCAGAATAATTATTTGTAGGCCATACAAATACTTGTTCCGTGCGGGATCCGAACCCGCGCCCCCCAGCGCAGCAACTCATTGCTAAGCCACTGCGCCACGGAGCCGTCTAAGTGAATCCATCATCACATTTAATCACGTATCCGGTTAATACGGTCATATTCATAAAACTCAAAAATTACAGCCTTGTTTGCATAGGTGACTCTGTGATACGATAGCTCTTTATCAGTCAATCAAATAACAAAGGGTCAAAAGGGCACTGCTTTGTTGACGCCATTTTGACAGTTGAGAATATAGTAAAAATTTTAGTCTATTTTAATATTGTGTAGTGTAGTTAGTGTTTTATAAGTTGATTTTTCGAAGTGTTCCTAATTATTAGCAAATGTTATTTGCTATTGTTTTTCTTAATATATTAGTTATAGTACACGACTTTGTGTTTTTGTCACTGTTCTTCTCCTCGTTTTGGTTTTATAGGGTGGCAAAGCTTAAAGTGATATTACCCTCACATATCTTGGTTATGGTAAGGGGCGATTATAGAAAATGCTAGAAAAATCTAATACTTCCAATAACTGGCGGTATCATCATTTAGTTTAGGTCAGACGTAGAATACACAGACAGGCGACGGGCGGTAGTGTCAAAGGACGGAGACGTCTGGTACTGCGACCGTCAATTGAAGCCAGCCTGTCAAGCGTGACGATGAAGGCAAATCCTCCCTACATTGGAAGAGGCCCAAGTCCAGCAGCGAACTTTTGCGGCCTGATGAAAAAGAAAAAAGAAGGAGTAGATGGTAGGTAGGAGTAACAACTATAATTTTGTATATACAGGAGAAGAAGAGCTTTCTCCTCAACTTCTTTTTACCGACAATAGCAAAACATTTCCAGCATGTCAAGTTAGTAGGTACTAATATTTATTACCCTTACAGCCTATTCAAAGTCCACTGCTGGACATAGGCCTCCCACCTAGATTGCCTCATAGGGGCCACGCTTGGCAGGCAGGTTGGCAAGCGCAGTTTTTTTATTTGTAGTTGTTTTTAGGAAGACGCTGCTGCCCATCTCCTGGTTTGTTTCCCTCTATCGCATCTTACGATACTCCTGGGATGATATTATGGGGTAGTAGATATTCTTTTACCGCCACTACACTGACAAATATGGTGAAATATTATAATTTTTGAATATAATTAAAAAAAAGTTCCATTCATTTTATACGTGGTAGAGCCATGCTGTAGCTATATTAGTAGTATTGTTGTAGCACGAATGGGTCGGCTCGACCGGGGAAGGACCACGTTCTCACAGAATACCAGCGTCAAATAGCAGCTTGATGTTGCTGTGTTTCGAATGGTGAGTGTAGAGAACCGGAGACCCTTTTTACTGGCAAAGAGGCATTCCATCTTAGTCCTCACGGGTGACAACGCATCTGCATCTTGAGTCTTTATTGAGGATAGATGTAGATGTCTATGGGTCACAGTAACCACTTACCATCAGGTGGACTGTGTGCCCGTTTGTCACCCTATCCTATAAAAAAATTCTATATGCGTAGTGTTTCCGTAAACATAATAATTAATTATCGCACGAGCATACTTAAATTTAGTGCTTAATATTTAATTGCGAATTGACATCTCTTACCGCCTACTGGATCCGTCTCGTCCACGTGGATCATCTCGGATGATCTGTAAAAATAAAGAAGGTTTTACATTTATATAAGGAATATTTTGATATTTGCGATTGTCATATCTTAGTGGCATTGCATTCTTTTATTTATATAGATACTTTAGGACTTGTTCACACAATTTACTATCGTGTGGTAGAGCAACTCTGCGGCTATATTATGGGTGAAGCAACACAAGAATCACACTCACAAAGAAAAATACCAACGTAAAATAGCAGCATAATGTTGCTGCTATGTTTTTTATGGTAAGTGTAGAGAATTGAAGACCCTTTTTACGCATTAATGGGGCATTCTACTTCAGAGGTGAAAATCAACGAACGTGTTTTATTTGCGCTACATACAGAGTTCAAGGGTGAACCCATTAACGTATTTTATTTACGAGTATATTAAATTACTCTCTGGGGTTGTTTCACCTCTAATTTATGAAAACGTTTATTGAGAAATAAATGGATTTTTATTTTATTTTCATTTACTGGTGGTAACATTTCTATTGATACATTATAGCATCCACTTACCATCAAGTGGACTGTGTGCTCGTTTGTCACTCATTGTTGTTTAAAAAAAGAACCTAAATTAATATCTTTATACGTAAAAGAGCCTTTATCCTCTTATTTATTTATTAAGTGAAAAATATAACATAATGTCGGATAATTCGATACAATATTTCTGTATATAAATATTATTATAATTTAATTGAACAAATAACTATTTAATAACATTTCTTCAAATGTCTGGTTTAATTGATAAAGAAGTCTAGAGGGAAATTTAAAGTCAGTAAGCTTGCAAAAAGTAGGGCAATGAAACTTGACGTGCCCGTACGTTGGGCGAGTCAATACTCGTCGTATTTAATATTTTCCCTTCCGAAAACGCGCACACGTGAAAGCTGACCATAAAGCGACGAATAAACTTGATTCATGAACATTCACCATGTTTCTGGACGGTTTATTGTTGCCGTAAATATTTTAACGTTTGTACACTTTGGGCCAATATTGGCCATACGATCGGGTAATTATATAGCCAATATTGGTCCAAAGTGTACATAATATAATCCGGTAATTGCACATTACGTGTGGTGTTGCACTTACTAAAAATATTAATTGTTTAAAATATTAACGGACTGACGGACTCCATTTCTGTATAGGAATCCGTCCTCAAAGGTACATCTGTAGCATTCTCTATTTAAAATTGGCTGCATGACATGTGCACTGCATAAACTGCCACTTATCATACCATGTTGTGTTCGCTTGTTTCACTTCAATTCAATCGTTTCGTTTGTTACTTCAGTTTTATTAAAAAAAAAAACTAATGAATTTATTAAATAATTTATATGAATATTAATTTCGTGTAGTGGTAACGTATGAAGCGTATTTTAGAAAAAATTCAAAATTTTATAATAATTTCTTATATTTACACAAAAACATTTCATAATCCATCCTCCCAGACAACCAAGCGTTTCTACTGGCTTCTGAAGTTTTAGACTTTTTACGTGGCAGAGCCATACTGTAGCTGTATTATGGCTGTAGCACGAATGGTTCGACTCGACAGGGGAAGGACCACGCATTCACAGAATACCAGCATGAAATATCAGCTCAATGCTGCTGTGTTTCGTATGATGAGTGTAGACTGCATTCCATCTTAGTCCTTAGGGATGACAACGCATCAGCATTTTGATTCTTAATCGAAGATAAATGTAATGTCTATGGGCCACAGTATCCAATTACAATCAGGTGGACTGCGATCGTATGCCGTCACCCTAATTCTATAAAAAAGTACCTAGGTAGTAAGACATAGTGTATCGAAGCATTAAAGCTCCGACTTCCGATACTATTATGTGGAAATTATTTTATTCTTTTTAATTTTTGAAGTCGGTTTTTACTTTGTCGGTGTTGTTTTATAAAGCCTAATTTTTATTCTCTTTTGAGCGGTTTAAGGCTCTAAGAGATATTACAAGTTAAAAGTAATAACTAGATTGTGGAAAAATAGGGTACTTACATGATCACTTTAATGTAACTAATAAAAATTACCATACCCTAATTTTTCACAGATTTATAATTTTTATAATGATTTATTATATTTACGCGAACACTACACATTTAAATAAAAGTAGTTTTACGGATTTTATCGCGTAATAACTTATTTTATATTCCCCCGTTTCGAGTACTTTACAGCACCCATGGTCACGGGCGGAACTGAGGTGTATGACGTCCCAATGTGCCAATGTCATAGTTAACCACGGCTACCTCCAGATTAAAACTATTAATATTGTTCCGATCTTTTTTTTTTTCGATTTTAATCTGGAGGTAGACGTGGTTAACTATGACGTTGGGACGTCATACACCTCAGTCCCAAGGTGACTATGGGTGCTGTAAAGTACTCGAAGCGCCGGGAATATAAAAGAAGTTAATATACGCGATAAAATCCGTAAAACTAGTTTTATTTAAATTATAGTTTTTCTTTAAATTTATGTGGGCCACTTCTTTATATAAAAAAGAATCATTTAAGATTGTTTCTGCCGTTAGCGAGAAATCGGTGAACATACATCTTATAAAACATACGCGTCGAATATGGAACCTCCCCGGTTTATTGAACGAAAGTTTAATACGACTTGTAAAATTAAGTGTGTTCGAATATTAAATCTCGTAATCAGATGTTGGAAAGACTGCATTAAAAATTTTCAATTTAAAAAAAATAATTGGAGCAGAGATAGTTTCTGCATATCGTGAATATTACGGCAAGTGCTCAAAACCTAATGAGACTTGCGACGATGATGTTATAATATGAAATCGAAAACTTTTGAAGTTAGGTTCTATTTCGTTTGTACAACAAAAAAATTATTCCATTGTAGTAGGTACCGACTAGATTATTTATCATACAGCTGATATATTCTAGGATTATTCTTGTTAATGTTTTTACAATGCTACAATAATTACAGTCATTACGTTTAGAATGTTACCGGTCTGGTAGAGCCAAGGCCACTGGGCTCTATTATGACATTCTAGACAAACAGGGCGCTCTCCAGCGACTTATAATAAGCTCGACTGCAACAGTATTCGGGTCATCTATTTAGGTTTACGAATGAACGTTACGGGACATGTTATTACGATCATACAGCCCGGTCACGATTCTACCGAACGCACGATTACATTGCAAATGAAGTCTTTTGTCTATTGTTGTGAACAATGCTGGAATAATCTATTTGGTAGAAAGGAAAACGAGTTTACTGTTGGCTCTATGTGCAGTTTCCCTTGCCACTTCTAAGATATATACTAAATTAAAAAGGCCAGTCTTGTATAAAAATGATTTCATAAAAACATGCGTGAGTGACGGGGAACACTCGGTTGGAACGAAGTTCCATTCGTAGCATATTATTATTGTTAAACGTTCTTTCATGACAAGATAAGAAAAAGTGCGATGGAGATGGATATTATTCCATCCTTATAGCCGCCAAGGCCGTCTACACTACGTCAGAAGCTCAGAAGGGGTCGTGCATAGACATACGGGTGTATTCATAATCATTTTTAAACAGTTCATTAGTTAAAAAGTGTTTTGTCACTTTCTAGCAACAAGTATCTCGCAAATGTCAGAATGAGACAAAACATTTTTTAACTAATGAACTGTTTAAAAATGATTATGAATACACCCGTTAAAATATACTGGAGTACATTCTAAGTCTATAGGGTCGTAACGGAAAAATCTTACATTTTTTCTCGCCTAGCCCCCATCCGCCAAATTCGTACCGTCCGATAAGGAAGTTCGTTCGAAAAATTTGGAATATGGCTATTATCGCTGGGATCGTCACGATAATTTTGCATTTAAAGATGTGTAGTTACGACAATTTCTATTATACCTTGATTGTTTGAATTTCACTTACGTACGTTATACATATTACTTAAATGCATAGAAATCAGTAAAAAAAACCGACCAGGATAATACAAAAAAAAATTACATAACATAATATTCAATATTTAATTATATACAATATTAAAAAACTATAATAATAATAATAAAAAAAACTAAAACTAATAATTAAATTATCATACAGTCCCACTCCCCGTGGTATAGTGCCAAGAACGATGGCTGCGTTTCCTCGCTGAATGGCTATACTTAAGCCCCGGATACACGAGGACTAGGAGACATTTTGTCTCGCAACATGACGCGGAACACTCAATCTATGTGACGGTGCAACGTTGCACAGTGACCCGCAGCATGGCCCGCAACATTTTACGAGACGCCACTTACTCAGTTCAGCTACCTCTGATCTCGCCCCGGCTCTAAACGAGGTACCCTTGAGCGGAAAAAAAATAAAGAACATACTAACGAATTCAGATCCTCCTCGTTTTTTGAAATCGTATAAAAAATATAAGACCGCGTTATCAAAACTCTTATTATAATTGAGTTTTTAATTGTTTTAGTAAGACATTTCCATCTCTTTGTACAGTAGATAAAGGCTACGTTACACTATACACGATTAAGACGAATGAAATGAAAGAAAATTCACACACATTTAAAATCAGATTATTTATACTGTGCTAAATTAAATAGATAGTATAATGACTGCATTGTAATATTTTTATGTTATTTTTAATTTATTCTGGCAAAATTACTGAAGAAGTTTCTTCAACTAAAGTCCGCAAAAGAAGATTATTTACGATTGAAAAAAGACTGAATCATTTTGTAAACAGAAACATGAGATAGTTCCGGCATTTCATGGTCTATAAAAAAAGATGCTTGATTTTGAAATTAAACATAAGAAATGGGACAAGGACGGTGTTTCAAACATTGAAATCTTTTTAAATTTCACAATATTTTTAGATTGCTGGGTCAAACATGTCAACCAACGAATTCTTTGTTTATGTTTATTCTGTCTTAATAGGTCGAATTATGTGAAATAATACATTCGCATAAGGTAAAATTTAAGAACTTTATATTTTCTTGACTAGATTTTTATATAGTATTAGCTGTTCTCCGCGACTTCGCCCGCGTGTAATTTAGGGTTTTAAT